AACACTTCTTCCTCAATTTGTAGCATTGCTTCCAAAATAAGTATGTTTGACATTTTTATTATTCATATCACAAATATTACTATAACCGTTTTACTGAATGACACTCATGAAGGACGAGTATTGCACTTCCTTAAAGGTGACTGATAAATTCCATAACTTAGTTGCTCGTGGTGGAAGTCCCCGTAAATGTGCTTCACTTGCAAATGTTTCTAAACCTCGAAGATATTGCGCTACATAGCGAAATGTTTCGTGATTTAGATGACGACGTGCAGTTCAAACTCTATATTCAGCGTAGAATCTTGGAGTGGTGACACTTTTACCTAGCACTTCACCGTACACCAACACCATATCCGTTTCTTCACTTGAAGTAAAAGTCATTTTATTACATTTCATCCTCGTTTAACCTCGAATTTTTATTAACACAAGATCAACAAACCGGTAATGTCGACAATCTGTCTGTCATTAAGAATAAATACTACACATAATCATGCAATAATTGCATAATTACACTGGTAAGACATTTTGCTGCATAAAAAAGTTTTATCAGACTCAAATGAGTATAATTATAACAAACAAACTGGTATGGTATGATTTTTACTCTTCAAACTTTAAGATTTCTTTCTCGAAATATAGCGATTTTTTTATATTTTGGGAAAATCGTTAGAATATTGAGCCATATTTGGGTTTTTTTATCGGTTTATTTCTGATTCTTATTGTTTGTTTGTAAATGATTAAATTGTGCCTGTTATTTACTTTGTATTTAGAACACTTTTTTAATATCTGTTTACAAGATGGTTATAATGACAATGAATTTTTATTCATTGTGTAAACTAAATGTGAATCATTTCAAATGAAAATTTAATACCTTCCTACAAATCTGTAATACCTAAAGCCGACACTGACTTTGTGAATTTAATGGCAATATTTAATCCATTAAAACGTATTTTTTTTATTTGTATGTAAACATTTAGCAACGTTACTTGTTAAAGCCTCTGATTAAAATCACACTTGGCGAATTTTTATTTATTGGATTATTAAAAATGCCTATTTAAGGCATAGTAATATGCTGAAAATCATCAAATTTTACCGTCTAATAGTAATCATTTTATTTTTAAAAGAGAATTCTGTTACTTTCTAAATGTATATAATTTAAGGAGTTACTATTAACGACATGTAATATGATTTCTATAGCATGAAAGTTGGTAAAATGTATTATCAACTTTTAAAATGCTGATGTGACTAAAATAGAGAAAGGAAAGGCGCAAATGAAATGCGCATTTATTATTCGGTAATTTCTGATGTATCGATTTTAACTTTCCTTTCACAACATGGCATAAATCTTCTTGGGATGCGGTGTTTCAAATATATCTTTATAGCTACGCACTGATAGAAACACAGAAAGTTTGATGGCTTACATAAAGTCTCCAAATGTAGTTAGATAAGATGTAACCTCGGCATGACATTTGGTGGAAAGGCTATAAATGTTGAATACATAGTTTTTTGAAGCTTACAGTTTTACACTTTTTTCACGGCGCACAGCTTGTTTGTAAAATAGGGTAATTTACTTTTTATTTTGAACGTAACAGACATATTTCAATGAGATTTTCAACTCCTCTTTTCGTATTTTATTTTATTAAAATGTGCAATTTTTTGCTGCTCATATATACATGACAATGTATTTCGCCGATTTCCACAGTTATACATGGCGTTTTCAAACTAGATAAAAAAAATTCGGTCGTGTTCTCATCTCGCTAGAATAGGAATTTGTTTTCTGGATACGAGGCCCGTAAAAATGAACCCAAAATATAGTTCAAACTATAAAAGAAGATTTCACAAAATCAGCTTTTGGATGAAAATCAGAGTATTGATTTGTCGTCGACTCTAGAGGTGTATTTTTTTTGGCAATTTACAGAAAAAAGCTTTTTTACAAATAAATACTCATAACTACAGAAAATAGAATCTTGTACAAGTAGAGTACAATATTTTAAATAAAAATGATTACTCCGAAACCTTATAAACTAAACGATATTTATAGGTCTATTTTATGGACACGCTTGATAGGTGCGCGCTATTATTTGGATAAGTAGTTATTTGCAATGAAGACGACAAGCTCACGAAGTTTCGTTCTAATGAGAGACTTGAACGTCGTACCCTCCCGTTGTTAGACTTAGCACTCGCAGACTTTCTGTACGTCTTGGATTATCTCGCACTACTGCGTGGAAAACATTGCAAATGAGAGTTTGTGGTCTTATCATTTACAAACAGTTAAAAATCTTCAATCAGAGCATTACGGTACGCAGTTGAATTTTTGCCGATAGACTACTGCAAATCCCGAACTACCCAGAATCGTTGAATCGATGAGTCAATTTTTACTCGCGATGGAATTAATAACATTAAGAATAATCATAGTACATGAGCTTGTAATAATCCACGTGCAACGGTAGAAGACCATTTTCAGCAGATTTTCTGTGAGCCTGTGGCGTGGCATCATTGGAAATCAGCTTATTGGACCACATATTTTCAATGATCATCTTACGTGGGATGTGTACTACAATATTCTGGAAAATCATCTACCAATTTTTTAGATGTTTTATCAACAAATCGAATAGCAATGTATCTACAACAACACGGAACATCACCGCATTTTCACCGCAAAGTGTCTCATTGCCTCAGTCAGACATATCCAAATCGCTGGATTGGTCCTCATATGCTTGGCCAACGCAATCCCCAGACTTAACCTCGCTAGATTATTACCTTTCGGAACACATGAAAATGCTTGTCTACGTAGAAAAAGTCAATATTTGAGGCGCATTAGTTCAGAATTTTTAAGAGCTAAAATTCGTCTTAATCCTTAAGTACTATGCGCCAAACTTCATATCTCACCTTGCTCAAATGTTTATTTAAGTCACGAGTGTTCATTTTGAACAACTATTGTAGCTTATTTAGTTATTACTAGAGTTGGCAAGTCGTGCGGCTATTCAGTGGTGCAACAGCAGGTAGATAGATATCTGGTGAGGCAACGACCGACTGGCGGACAAATCGGAGCGAGCTGCCAGACTAGTCCATTGTTGTATGTCGTAATGTTTACACGCTAATTTATTCATTCCCGTTGTATTTTATGTTGTTGTATTGTTGAAATTTATTTGTTGTATTTTACTGTTGAATTTTATTTGTTGTATTTTATTGTTGTTATTAATTTAATAATAAAATATGTCAGACGTGCGCAATGGTATAAAACAGCCATAGGCTGACAAAGTGAATAACTTTATCAGTGAATTCCAGGATTTATTCAATAATGGTACTACAATAATTTGTAAGGTGTGCAAGGCAGACTTAATGTGCTGGGATAAATATGATTGTAGACGTCACGTAAATACTATGCACCATAAAACTAAAAAAAATTGCGTGCCTTCGAAAACACAGTTTATGTTTGATTTACTATTAATGCTGATTGCCTGTGATGTTCCGCTGAACATACTCGATAAACAACCACTTCGGGAGTTCTGGAATAAATACAATCCCGAGGAGATGTTATCACGAAAAGTTGAGTAACTATGTACCAACTGTACGCGAACACATTGTAAATAAGATCAAAATGTATTAAAAAATACACGGCCGTGGTTATCTGTTGACGGGACGACAGATCGTAAAAAAAATTCTATTGTAAATGTTATAGTACGTAAACTGAACCCTCTTTAACGGACATTTCCACTATTATTAGCTGGCAGAAAATTAGCTGAACGTACTGGCAAAACCAATTACGCGGGTGGTGCTGGAGACGTTAGAAAAATTTGATCTGTCAACAAGTCAAGTGTTGATATTTGTGAACGATGGTGCCGCGACAATGCGCTTGGTAGGTTCTCTTCAAGAATACGATTGTAGGTTGGTAGATGTTACGTGTAAAGTGCATACTTTGCATTTTGTGGCAGAAACTATTCGATAAGGTTTTCCAGAGGTAGACGCATTAATAGCAAGTACAAAAAAAGTGTTATTTAAATCACCTAAACGTCTTCGCGCATTTCACAGCAAGTGTCCCGGTATTCCCGAACCTTACACGTTGGTGAACATGCTTGAAGGCAGCTTTTTATTATGCTGAATATTTACAACAAACATAAACTGTAATACTACAATTCAATCCTGACGGGTCTGTAGCTATTAAGGAAAGCCAGACAAAATTCGAATATATTTCCGTTGAAACAGCTTTAAAAACTATTCACAAGAACTATAAAAGACTACATGACGTCATAAAAAACTTACAAAACAGTGCGTTGTCGTTAGCGGAGTCACTGCAAATAGTGGACGAAGCAAATCGACTGCTACACTTTATAGGTGACGCAATAATTGAGCCCGTTAGAGAAAAGGTCGAACGTATGTTAAAGCAAGACACCGGTTTCACCAGATTAAATTTGTGGTGTTACTGATGGTGCAACCCCAGATCCATTAAGTGCGTTCAACGACTATTTTAAGTGTGCCTGTATTACATCAACAGATGCCGAACGGGTCGTTCTCAAAATATAAGAATATTTTTTCACCATAGCACACAGTGAACATCACTCACGAAGACAACCATAGAAACATACCTGATGCTGCAATGTTTTTACAGATCTTGTTTGTGATAACCAAGCTAATTCGTTAAGCTAGGGTAAGTTATGCATACATTGTTATAAATTGTAACAGTTTATTGCATTTGTTACTAGTTAATTTCTTCCGCTACATTTATTATGATGCATATGCCTATGTCTCACTGCACATTTCTGCCAACTCTAGTTTTTACTTCTTTCAAATTTCTACTGTTTTTCAATAAAATGCCTTATTTATCAAATTCCTTGTATTTTTCTTCAACAAGTCATAACTCAGATTTTATGGTCCGACCTATGTTATTATATATAATATAACTTTTTTTTGCTTAAAATTACTCAAGGAACATATCCCTGAAATTTGGCAGATTCCTCTTGGAACACCCAGTATACAATTTCTAGAAAAGCATTTGCATTTTGTGTGGCTTCGTGGTCGAGTGGTAAGAATACTTGTCTTCCACTCTAGAATCCCGGGTTTGATCTCCGGTAGAGAAGCTAGGATCTTTGCTAAATCAGAAATTAATCCTAGCATATTGGATGTGTGTCCATTGTCTTTAAATGTGTAGCCCTCTGCCACACAAGGTACCTTGAGGTACCTTCAGGGGGTAGTATTATCTGTAGTATTTAATTTAATTTAATTAATAATTAATTTATCTTTCTTATGTCTCCGATAAAATGCACAAGGTAAATTTATGGACAACAAAAAAATTTAATAAATTAATTTGTCATTTAAAGCGAATATGTTTCTTTCAATGTGATGTATTATTTCATTCTCGGTTCATTGAGTCGCAAAGACCGAACAAGGTGACATTATGCAAATATGGTGGAGTATCTCACCTGCAAGATTAAACAGCACCCTCATAAAAACTTAGAGTGTTATTAATGAAGCTATTAAATTTATAAAACGGCTCTATCAGATACAAGGGGTCGTTTGGCCGCATTCGTGTGGCATTTTTCCGAATGTGGTTTTTAATTTAACTAGTGAGCGGGAGTTGTGATTTATGTACGAGTATTGAATACGCCGCGACGTCATTTTACGGTGCGGTATTTAAAAGCGGCTGACATTTGCTATGCTATCGCCTCGAATAATAATAGCCGCATTCTCGTTTAATAACCACCCATACAGGTTTGTTTTCCATTAGGGTTGTTTATACCTCGTCCTTGGTATTCATGTAAGTTCCATTAATCGCGGCCGTGCACCGCAGGTCGATGACACTGATAGATGCCCTCCGTTCGGCTCCTTTGTCAGCACTGACGGCTCGCCGCAGTTTGCAAACTGTGGGAAATGCACCACCACTGCAACCACAAAATGCAATCCTATAATAGAGATATTTGTGGCATCCTTGAATAGAATAGAAACCTGTACTGATTAAAAACGGAAACATACATTTTCCGTGACGGAAACGTAATCATTAAAACGGCATGACTAAGAATTTTATTGAACGTAAGAAATTAATGGAATTAATTACATAGTTCTTCAATCTAAAATTACAAAATGAAACACAACGAATATAAATGCACATACAGAGTGGCCAAAAATGAAGCATGATGCGTAAAACTTTTGAAATGTCATTTATACGGACTTTTTAAAGGCATTCCACAGACGTGACCATGGCTTATTGCTGCATAAACTATGCGCTGCAGGACTTAATGATGGATTCGTCAAGTTGTTTCTCTTTTCATATACCAGCTTCACAAACTCGTTTAGAAGTTTATTTTATTTGCCAGTTCACAGAACAAATCTGGTAAAATTTTCATCTTTATACACCATGCATGTGTTCAAACTATAGGTTCAAGAAAACATTGATATTTTAATTGTAATATTAGGGTTATAAAAATTTATGTTCTTTCTGTGGACTATGTTAACATTTTTGTTAAGTTATTAGTAAAGCTGCAAATCGTTTCTGCGTATCATGGTCGTAGAGTACAGATGTACTTACTGTCGCTGGCATTCACCTTGACCACGAAACTCTTTCTCCAGTTCAGTCTATTAGTCTATTATTAGCTTTCGAGTGGTGTACACGTTAAGTCACTTGGGCGTATTGCATACTGTTTTTGTGTTTTTGTTTTATTTGTTGTACTGTATTGCTGATATTAATAATAAAGCATGGCAGACGTACGCAGGGGCAGAAAGCGGCCATTTGCTGACAAAGTGAATAAATTCATAGGTGAATTCCCGGATTTATTCTACGATGTGCTAAAATAATTTGTAAAGTGTGCGAGAAAGATTTGATGTGCTGAGATAAGCCTGATTGTGGACTTCACGTAAATAGTGTAGACTATAAAAATAAAAAAAATGGCGTGCCTTCGACAACACAGTTTATGTTTGATTTACTATTAATGCTGATTTCCTGTGATGTTCCGCTGCACATACTCGATAAACAACCATTTCGAGAGTTCTGGAATAAATACAATGCCCAGGTGAAGTTCCCAAGTCGCACAACGTTATGTAACTATCTACCAACTGTACACGTAGACATGGTAAATAAGATGAAATGTGAATTAAAAAATACACGGCTGTGGTTATCTGTTGATGAGACAACAGATTGTAAAAAAATTATATTCTAAATGTTATAGTACGAGTGCTGGACCCTCTTAGACTCACAGTTCCACTGTTACTAGCTAGTAAAAAACTTAGTTAGTGTACTAGCGAAACAATTACCAGGGTGGTGCTGGAGACGTTAGAAAAATTTGAACTGTCAAAAAGTCAAGTGTTGATGTTTGTGACTGATGGCGCCGTGACAATGTGTTCGGTAGGCCGTTCTTTGCAAGAACAAGGTTGTACGTTTACAGAGGTTACGTGTAAAGTGCATGCTTTACATCTTGTGGCAGAAACTATTCGAAAAGGTTTTCCAGAGGTGGATGCATTAATAGCAAGTACAAAAAAAGTGTTTCTTAAATCTCTTAAACGTCTCCGTGCATTTCATAGCAAGTGTCCCGGTATTCCTGAACCACCACAGCCGATTTCTACATGTTGGGGAACATGGTTGCACGCAGCTTTTTATTATGCTGAATATTTCCAATAAATAAATGCTCTGATACTACAATTCAATCCAGATGAGGCTGCAGCTATTAAGGAAAGCCAGACAAAATTCGAAGATATTTCCGTTAAAACAGCTTTAAAAAATATTGTGAAGAACTATAAACCATTAAATGAAAGCATAAAAAATTAGAAAACAGTGCGTTCTCGTTAGCGGAGTCACTGCAAATAGTGGACGAAGTAAATCTACTGCTACACGTTATAGGTGACGCAACAAATGAGCGCGTTAAAGAAAATTCTTCAAGAGTATTTATTTCGGTGTTATAAATTTCAAATAGACCCACAACGAAGAAGCAAGCAGGTTGAAGTTTGGCGAACGTGCAGGTGAGTGGATTGGTACATTTGTTCCTCTGCCATTCACCTTTCTAGAAAATTAGTGTTCAGCTAGCTTCTAGTTATTCTAGTAAAATAAGGAACGCCATCATACATAAAAGACAGTATTTATCTCCTGTTAATTGGAATATACCTAAGAATTTTAAATAAGTTATTGTCAAAAAAGTTGGCGTATATTGCTCTATTCAATGTATCTGGTTAGTTTACTGAAATGCGCCACATATGGATTTCCCAATGTGGCTGCCAAACATTTACCTTAACGTATGCTATATCTTTATAATTTGTGGTAGATTACTCCTAAGATAATTTCAATTTTTTCTTATTTTAATTGTATACCATATGGTTTAACAAAGAGAGAATTCGGGTTTCAATAATTTAACTGAACAAAAGAGAATCGTACCATATGTCATAAAACAAACACGACGCAACTACAGATGGTGTTTCAGATTTATGGTTCCTCACTAGCACAGCGTAGCTTATGATGTGGAATATAGAATGGAGTATATCAGGAAATTCTAAACAAAAGGTTGAAAGCACAGCACACGGTATTCTGCTCACGTTTTCGTGTCCAATAGGCCTTGTCAACACTACCCTACGTGCACTGCCCATCTTAACCTGACAAGGTAAGCAAAACAAAGATGGAATTGACGAGGTTCAGTATTATACAAAAAGGAAATCGTGTTGGATACCCCAAAAATGAACACGATGCAGGTGTTTCGGAATTATTGTTCCTCATCAGAGAACAAAGTACTCTGTGCTTTACTTTACACCTTTTGTTTAGTTGTTTCTGATATATTCCATTTCATATTTCACTTTTTAAGCTATGCTACGCTGATGAGGAACAATAATCCCAATATACCGTTGCCCGTAGCTGTGTTGTGTTTCTTTGTTTAAGTATGGCACAATTCCCTTTTGTCATATGGCTTAAATAAGATTTTATTAGATAATAATATTGTTCAGGTTAAGTAGAAAGTTTTCAACAAATCAATGATAAAAAAGAATCCCATGTGGTGCAAACATTATGGGATACGTTGTAAATAATACAACTCTGACTAACTGAAGTTAATTATTTTGTGTCAAGTAACGTTAACTCTGATACTTAAAAAAAGATACAAGTAGTTTCATCTGAAATTGTATCTTTCTCTATTCCTGTTTGAAATATGAAACACTCAAAATTCGTCAAACTATTTCATTTAATTAAGAAATGTGTCGGCAGCGTATGCCACATTTGAGCCAGATGAATCATTAACATAATGCAGCATATAATTTACGTATAATAGGAAGTATGTTGGCCTCAAAACTAGCCCTTGTGACACTTTAAAATCTACATTTCTTTAACGTGATATATTGTTATGGGGTACAAACCTTTGGATATGTATCGATAAAATCGTATTCCCTTATATGTATAGGGCGTATAATAAAAGTAAATGGTCGACATAGTCAAATTCTTTAGATAAGTTTATAGAAAACCCAAAAGCAATTTGTCCAAAAGTCACATCTCTATTAAAGCATCTTCACATTTTTTTGCTTTATAAAATTAAGAGAATAAAGCAGCAGGAACAGATTTACCATATATCTTAGTAGAATTAGATTATCTATAGAAACATTATCTCGAGTAATGGTATTTTCCACTATCCCATATGTGTGCAAAAATGAATTACATTTTATATAATGAATTTTAAACTTTTGCAACTTCTTAAAAATAATTTTGTTGACAAACTATCCAACGGAACTAAATGCTCTCATAAACGATTTGATTGAACCGTTTTTTCATAAATTAACTATTCTTGCGTTGACTCAAATATTTATGATATTTTCAATACCTAAAGAAATTATAGACAATGTTGGCATAATTATTTCAAATACTACCGTAGGTACTCTTATGTTCCAATTTTGAATATGTAGTTCTTATATTATTAATGATTCGATCAATACGTTTTTACAACAAAACTGCGTTGCAAACTCTAACACTAACAATACGCATTTCGTTAAGTTAGCATCAACTAAAAAGTTTTATTCATCTTCAGATGATGCCAGCTTAGTTGGCGAAATATGCATTGATTATAGTACCGAAATGTTTAATATTTCTGGAAATAACCCCAATGGATTTACTTTTGTTTTTAGG